CTGGAGGGACCGCCACCAAGCCAGCTGCTTTGTCTACCCTGGGGCGGGCTGTTCGCTCACTGTTTAAAATATTGGCAGTTCTGAAGGGCAGCCACATTTGAGTTGTGAATCAATACACTAGATGAAAGGCTTGGACTTGGAGGACTGATGTTCCCAGGTTGAACATTTCAGTGGATTATTCCATGATTTCTGTTCATATTTGTGCCAGCCAACCAAAGTGTTTCGACTTTTCAAACTTGTTTTAGAAAACGTAAAATAATTTCGCAATCTTACAGCGATACGTTTTTCCACTCTTTCATTTCCTTTCCTACCTTCTCTCACTCTCTCGTTCACTTTTATCGGCTATTCAATAGCTTCTTATGTTGGATTTTAGTCTCGTTGTTTTAAGTGCTTGAAGAAATGTGTTGGTTTAATCAAAAGGCTGTGGTGAACATTTCAAACGATTATTTTGGGGTGTGATGCTGGCTTTTGTGTTTGCATAGGCACTTTCCATATGGCCTGAACGCTACGTTTATCTAGGAAAGCGGAATACTACTACCGTTTAACATATGCTGAAAGGTGCCAGTGAATGAGAGTGTGTTAGGGGCTAGCAGTCATTAGCATTTCACTTCCTCAGCCAGCTGAAAAGCACATCTGCTCTCTCTTTTGGGAAGATGTAGCGCACTCAGCAGACCCTGTGGCTAATGGTTAGGGCAAAGCAGGAGTTGAGGCATTAGTAAGTAGTATCCCAGGCTGGTAGACAGGACAGCCCTCTCTGCTCAGGACCCCGGCTCCAGCTCACATTCTCTGCCTGGCTCATGTTTGTGTTCCAGCTTCTGTCATTACATTGAACATCACACATTTAGACCTGTCTCTCACCTCCCGCAGGGCAACCCTCATCAGGACAGGAGGAATCGTGACCTGTTCATTGTGCGAGGTTTACATCTTCATGATGAATCTTATCTCAACAAGCCGCACTGTTGGATATACACTGAGTGGCCAGATTATTATGATCTCTGAATGCATAATAATCTGGCCACTCAGTGTATATCCTATATAATAAAAGGCTAATATGCACATTGTCCTCTTGACCAGGAGTTTGACCAGCAGGCAGGCCGGCCAACTGCCCATGCCCCCTCCTCTGGCCAGGCTGGCTGGACCCCACCCACCCATGCACAAATTCATGCACACTGTGCATTCAGAGATCATAATAATCTGGCCACTCAGTGTAAATGCTCCCACGTGTCCTGTCTAGATACTGTCAAACAGGCGAGTAAGTCCCGAGCACTAGTAAGAAAAAACTTTCTCCAGCATTTTGTATGGATAGAGCGAGGAAATGCTTGGTTTAGTTTAGTCCCTGCCCCCCACCCCCACCCCCCCACACACACACACACTATTTACCTTGTTTATCACCAACAAATAAAAAGTAATCACCCATTACCAACATCAAAACACAGGCTGTTCCTTCAAAGTGCTTGTTTTAACTCCTGGCAATGAGAGACCATTTCCTCTAAGGACAGAGGACAGCGTGGCCTGCCATATTTTTGCAGTTTTGGAATGTCGTACTGTTAGATAACGGGAAAAAAACGCTATCATTTTAGGGACAAAATACGGGCTTCTTTAGATGAACTTACTGTTTTATCTGTTAGGTGTGGGCAGAAAAACAGAAAGCGCTAGTGTGAAGTGAAAAGTTTTCCTGGTTTCAGGAGCTGTTTCCTTTGTGAATGCAGTGACGCCTCACAGTGTGTTTACAGTCCCTTCAAACCCCTATGTCTTTAGAAAGAGAGTGGACCCAAATGTTTACATAAGGACTTTATTTACAGAAATGAACGTTTCTGATTCTCTCAGAGTATCATTTTTCTGGCTACTTAATAAAACACAATATTCACGCAAGCCCGCTGCTGAAAGTTCCTACCGTACTGTGCATTGGTTGGTGTGTGGATTAGAAAGAAACTCGTTTGGGTTGGGAAGTAAGTGCAGAGTTACCTTACAATGGGGCTTTAGTATAAGCTCACATAGGTCAGCAGAGAGCAGTTCGGTAAAATTTTATGTCTACACAGGGCCTCTTTATTCCTGATGGTGCCTTTTCGTTGCAAGTTGCAACGTAGAAGGAAATAAAACCAAGCTTCAAACCCTTGTTGAGTTTATTCCAGTGAAGTGTTTTTCCGAGTCTTGTCTTTGCTTTGGTTAATTTTGATTTACTCTATCTGCTTATCTGCTGTCACAAATGACACAGGCATTATTGCTGTGACTAAACTAAAAAGAGATTTTTGTTAAGAGTACCCAGATCGTATCAGTGGGAATAAGTTCCACTGGCCTCAGCGTATTTGCCTACAAGGGTCTGTTTGTAAATACTGTAACTTTGAACGGTATGTTCTTGTAGAGACTGAAGTTTGACCTTGAAGCATTTTTTCAGGTGAATATTTGCTTCTTTTGGGGGCCTAGTTTCTTCCCCCTGCCTTTATTTTTATGTATCTCTGGCAGCTGCCAGCTCCAGCTGATAGACATGGCTCGGCCCTGGCTTATTCTGTCGCCTCCTCTCCCTTCCTGGAAGCAGGAGTGCTGGCTTCCCTGGCTCCTCTGACATCACCCTTGCCTGCCACCCTCCCCCTTCTCTGCCTGAAATGTTGGTGTATCCCAAGATTCCATCTTTGCTCCCTTCCTTTGCTTCCCCTTTTCCTCCTGTGGATGAGCTGTTGGCATCCGAATCCAGGTCTCCTGCCTCAGGGGCCAGGCCCATTTGTCTGGCCACCAGAGGCCTTATTTCAAGTGCCCCTTGTCTCAGGCAACATAAACAGAGCAAACTCATTGTGCTGTCTCCCCAGACCCTCTTCTCTTCTTTTTCCTGTGTTGGGCCAGTGGCACAACCATCCACCAGGAAGGCTGGGCCTGCGCCCTGCAGACTACGTGCCATCTTCAGTGCGCTCATCTCCTGCTCCCAGGTGATGGCCAAGCCCTTTGGGTTCAGCCTTCCGGGATTCATCCTCTCTCTCCATCTCCGGTGCTTCGTTCTGAGTTCTGCTCCCAGCAGACCCCACGCCCGTTACTCGGTACTCCGTTCCCTTCCCGTTCACTCATCACACACCCTGAATCCCTGCCGCCTGGCATCGAGTCATGCCTGGAAAAATGCTTGAAAATAAATGACTTGAATGACCCAGATCTCTCATGTAACAAGTACATGTATATCCTGTACATGTATGTCCTTGAGCGGAGGTACATGTATGTCCTTGACCAGAATCGAACCTGGGGCCCTTCACTCTGCGGGCTGACACTGTAGCCACTGAGCCAAACTGGCTAGGACTATTTTGATTCTTTTTAAAATGCCTTGAAATGATATACCATGATCTTTTATGGTAGAGAGATTGTCTTTAAGATGTGCTTGCTATGAAGTCACAGAGACAAAAAAATCTTTTGAGTCATCGGGTTTTAAGGGGTTATGTCATGAACCCAGCACATAAGCATACTTTTGAAATCTATTAAAACTACCTCCACTTACTGTATGATATTGATCTTTGACCTAAATTGAAAAGGTGTTGTTGTGTTTTTGTTGTTGTTGTTTGTTTTGTTTTCCCTTCCCTATAATGTTTTTAAAAAGACCTATGGGTATTGGACTTTAAATTGAATTATCTAACAGAAAGAAAGGAAACAAAACTGCTTTGTGTGTTAGGTCATGACGATAAGTAGGCACTTCCAATGGGAGGTTGAATCCATGCCTGTCTTGTTTTAGTGTGTGGCTCATCACGCAGACGCTACCCACCGAGGCCACAGGCTCCTCCTCCTCTGTCTGCTGCTCTGAACTCAGAGGGATCTCACCTCAAGCTAATGATGAAGGGCAGGAGCAGTCGGGACCTGGGTAGCATAGGAGAGCATTTTGCTCATTCTCTGATGATGACTTTACTTTGCCCCTAAAGGCTTTGGCGTCACCGTGAGCGGGAGCCCCAGTGTGTTGCTGTGATAATGATGCCGTCATGGTTGCTTGCTCCTTGATTAAAACCTCCACGCTCTGCAGTTCATACTATGCAACTACTAGGGAGTACAGGACTCGGCAATAAATTGTCAGTTGTTATTGAAGAAAATGATGTGATATGAAGAAATGTTTTATGAGATTATTTCAGTCTTGTCTTGTCATCTCATCCCAGCCGTTTATTGTGGATAACTTTCCCAGGGTACATTGCCACGAGATCCAGTTGTCGCTGCACAGTGTTTTGGTGAACTGCATTGGAGACAAAACTCTCTGGGGGTGACGGCTTCTCCAGAGAGGACCTTTGGCTTTGCAGTGGCACCAGCCTGGGTTTGAAGTCAAGGCTAGCCACGTTGGCTGTGCATCCGTGGGCCAGTTGACTTAATCTTGTGGGGTGTGGGCATGTAAATCTTCTAGGGTAGCCCCTCAGGTGTAAGAGGTGCTTTATAAATACTACTAGAGGCCCAGTGCACGGATTCGTGCACCTGTGGGGTCCCTCGGCCTGATCTGTGGGGATCGGGCCAAAACCGGCTCTCTGACATCCCCCAAGGTGTCCTGGATTGTGAGAGGGTGCAGGCCAGGCTGAGGGACTCCACCGATGCAGAGTCAAGGGCCAGGGAAGAACCTCAGGACAGTTCCAGGGCATGCCCAGCTCATCTTTCCCAGTCCTTTATCCATCAGTCAGACAGACCCCAGCAGCAAGCTAACCTACCAGTCTGAGCGTCTGCCCCCTAGTGGTCAGTGCATGTCATGGTGACCGGTGGACACTTAGAATATTAGGCTTTTATCATATAGGATTCCTCATCTCTTCCCTGTGAAAGTCGTGTATTTTGCACCCATGGGAGGGCAGACTTCTTTTTCTAGAAGTTGGGTACACAGACAGCGAGACAAGTGCCAGGGAAGGAGTGGACGGATTCCTGCGGGACCCTCCCTTGGTGCCCTGCTGTGAAGGAATGCGCAGCGGGGCCGGGGGAGAGCTTGGTGTTGGCTCCTCGCGCCCCAGGAGTGCCCGCTGCTGCCACGGTGTTCCCAGTGACACTCCTCCCTCTCTCTCCGGCAGGTGCCCGAGATCATCAGCTCCATCCGCCACGCCGGGAGGCTCGCCCGCCAGGAGGAGCTGCACTGCCCCTCGGAGTTCGATGACACGTTCTCCAAGAAGTTCGAGGTGCTCTTCTGCGGCCGCGTGACCGTGGCGCACAAGAAGGCGCCGCCGGCGCTCATCGACGAGTGCATCGAGAAGTTCAACCACATCAGCTGCAGCCGGAGGGCCGAGCTGGACCTGGCGGCCCAGGACCCCGCGGCCAGCGGCCCCGCGGCCACGCTCTCCTTCTCGGACCGGTTCCGGGCGGCGCTGCAACCCGCGGGGCCCCCGGAGCAGGGCCGCCGGCCGATGCGCAAGTCCTCCTCGCAGCCCGGCCTGCGTTCCACCGCCTGCAGGAGGGAGTTCCAGGACGGGGGCCTGCGCAGCCACAGCTTCTTCAGCTCCTTCGATGAGAGCGACATCGAGAACCACCTCATCGGTGGACACAATATTGTGCAGCCAACGGACATCGAGGAGAATCGAACTATGCTTTTCACGGTAAAACAGCCACCAAGCCTCGTCGTGGTCACCCCCCCAGTCTTGAGATGAGAGCATCTGCTTTAGTGAGCCAAGAAGCTTAGCACCTTGCTTTTGGATTTATGTGCGAATCTGTGCATTAAAAAAAAAAAAAAAAAAAAAAAAAAATATATATATATATATATATATATATATATATATATATATATATATATATATATATATAAAATTGATTTTATTACAGAGAGGAAGAGAGAGGGATAGAGAGTTAGAAACATCGATCAGCTGCCTCCTACACACTCCCCACTGGGTATGTGCCCGCAACCAAGGTACATGCCCTTGACTGGAATGGAACCTGGGACCCTTCAAACAGCAGACCCGTCGCTCTATCCAGTGAGCCAAACCGGTTTTGGCAAGAATCCATGTATTTTTATACTCAATCATTCTTTTCTCAGGATAAAAGGACTCATTGCTTGAGTCCTAAGCCTTTCAAGTCATCCAGGGGAAAGATAAAGAGAGTCCATTTTCTTGTATGATTCTTACCTCCCCCAGCCATGCTTCTAAAGATAACTTTTCAGTGTGGAAGGAACGAAGTTAATGTGTGTAAAAGGGGTCCAGAAAGGGACTTTTAAACATGGATATTAATTTCAAGTCATCTGTTTCAACAAAATCTTTTTGGAAAGTACTCCCTCCATGCCATTTTTAAAAAAAATTAATTTATAAAGCATTTGTGCTTTGTTAATCAGGGTAATTGGATTTGTAGATGACAGAATATTTGAAATTTATACCCAAGCTGAAATATTAGTTCAGCCAACGGCCTGCTCACTTTTTTTCTAGATGTTTGGGCCACACGGCAGAAGAGGAATTGGCAGGGAGGCTGTCCCTGGCAGGTGGGGCTGCCGGGTGCGCTGCCCTCCCTGGGGGCCCCCTGGGTCTGAGCTGCTGGGGTGGGAGCTGTCCCAGCAGGAAGCGGCCTCTGAGGATGGAGAGAACGGATTGTTCCTTGACATCCACTCCCTCCCCCCTCATTGTTTCTTTGACCTAAGGCTGACCAGAAATTCTAGAGAGCAGAATTACCTTATATGTCTATCTTGTTTTTGTGCCTCACCCAGGGCCGGAGGGCAGGAGATGACTGAGGGGTAGGGGAGCTGGCTATTTAGTTCAATGCTGATGGCACTATGCAGGTTTACAATCAAGAGAGTGAGTCCGGGAACACAGAGCTGATTGTTACCTGCCAACCTGTGAGTCGTGGTCCAGGTTGGCTGATTTCTTCCCGATTTCATCACAGATCTAATGTACTGAGGGGGCTACTTGCAGTCAGTCTTGTGCTTTAATCTGTACTTTTGAAAAATTTATCTTGGAGTCATTGGGAAAGCTGCTTGGTGCATGTATTTTCAAGTACTTAATTGTATGACGGCTGCATACACCAGAAATACAGCCGTGAACAAGACACGTGGTCTCCGCCCACGTGGAGTTTAGATTCTGGAAAGAGAGACCAACAACTGGTTGCAAGTAATTATCTCATGACAGTTGGGATACATTCTGCCAGGATAAGCAGAGGGTGCTGCCAGAGCATCGGGGGGTGTGGGAGGGCTTCTTTGAGGAGGGGATTTTCACCGAGCAGAGGTTTCAGCGTGTCCTGGGTTCAGGGAGGTGCAGGAGCGGAGGCCCCGGGGGAGGGACGGAGCACGGACAGCCGGTGGCCAAGGCGGCTCCGTCCTAGAGCGGAGTCTGTTGTGCTGACTCACGTCAGTAAGACGGTGTTAAGTTATGCTAATGCTCTAACTTTAATAAAAGGTCTGGAACGTAGTACAGAAATGCCTACCACATGGTATGTACTCCACACAGGGTAAATTATTATTTTTAAAATATATATTTTATTGATTTTTTTTATAGAGAGGAAGGGAGCGGGAGAGAGAGTTAGAAACATCAATGAGAGAGAAACATCAATCAGCTGCCTCCTACACACTCCCTACTGGGGACGTGCCCGCAACCAAGGTACATGCCCTTGACCGGAATCGAACCTGGGACCTTTCAGTCCTCAGGCCGAATCTCCGTCCACTGAGCCAAACCAGTTAGGGCCACAGGGTAGATTATTTTAACAATAATTTTAAAAGATTTAGAAAAAAAGTCATTAGAAAACTGCTTGGGACGTTTTCAAAGAGAGCCTCTGTTTTCTGGAAGATTCCCTTACCTAGGAGCTGAGGCTTTGCTGCTAACTTTGGACACGTGGTTCCTCCATCTCACGGAGGACCGCTGTCTAACACAGGAGAATGTGCTAAGTTGTCCTGTGCTACCTGAAGCCTATAGGTTAAATGACAACCTTGGAAGTGATTTTCTACGGTGAGATAGTCAGAGTTTTATAGACGCCTGCCCCGTTTAGTCTTTGATTTCATAGGTCATGAAATGAGAAAGTTTGTGCGATAAATTTGAATTCAGCTTTCATGAGAAGCTGGCTGCTTTTTCTGTTTGTCTTTTAAGATTGGTCAATCGGAAGTTTACCTCATCAGTCCTGACACCAAAAAAATAGCATTGGAGAAAAATTTTAAGGAGATATCCTTCTGCTCTCAGGTAAGTTCAGATGGGTTATTGGCCCAATTGCAGTGGAATGTTTACTGAATTTTTCCCATATCTGTCCGTCAGTCAGTCAACAGAAGTGCTAAAGGTCACAAGATGTATGTGTTCTAAGTACTTGATTTGTGTTCTTGCATTTCTTCCTCCTCTACTTTGATATGTTTAGGCAAAATGTGAATGTAATTTCGAAATTAAGAATTTTGTTTTTAGAAACAATAATCTGGAGAAAATAGGTTTACTTTTCCTTTTTTCAATTATTCATGATAACATTCCCAAAGATGGTTCTCATGTGTATATGTATATGTCTGTGTGCACGTTTTATATATATATATATATATATATATATATATATATATAATATATATTCATACATATTTTAAAATAGATACTTATTTCTTCTTTACAAAATTCATAACTTTTTAAGGGTAGTAATAACATTATTTCTTTTTCCTTAAAATATATTAGCAATTATTTTTGAGGGTGTTTTGCTAAGAATACTGTCTACTTGAGTTCTTTCTTGATAATTTCCCAGAGAGTTCCATAGATTTTGGAGAATTTATAAATGAGCTGTGCCAATTTTACTCAGGATCTTCCTCACAACCATAAGGTCACTCAAGATACTATTTTTTAAACTCTGACTTCTCATTTCCTCACTTCCATTTTCTCTTAATAAGATGATGAAAATCTCATTGTTTGTTGATTTATAACATGATCTCCTTAAGGATTCAAAGGGATTTTTTTTCTCTTCAAAATGTGCTCCTCAGTAGATCAAAGAGGGGACCATTTACAAAGGAACAGTTTTTCCAAACCCCCCCCCTCCCCTGAAGGAGCCTCCAGCATGTGCTGCCCGTGGCTGCAGGAGAACACGGATTGAGCAGCCACGGATGAGGAAATATCTGATCGGACGCGAGATTCTCCGCAGAGTGTTTATCTTGATTTGCTGCTATTTCTATTGAAAAGTTAATGTTTAATGTTTGCTTTTTCACATAATAGTTTTACGATTTCCTCAAGTTTACATAATCGCCTGAACTTCCCGCTGTCAGCACTCAAACCTCCGCAGGCCGGTGCTCTCAGGAGATCCCACACATTAATGTCTGTGGGCCGTGTCTTATCTATATTAAAGTGCCTCTTAGCTGATACTCTCAAAAAAAGTTTAGATATTCATATATTTTAAAATATATATTTTATTGATTTCTTACAGAGAGGAAGGGAGAGAGATAGAGAATTAGAAACATCAGCTGCCTCCTGCACACCCTCCACTGGGGATGTGCCAGCAACCAAGGTACATGCTCCTGACCAGAATAAAACTCGGGACCCTTCAGTCTGCAGGCCGACATTCTATCATCCATTGAGCCAAACCGGTTTCGGCAAATATTCATATTTATTAAAAAGAGCTCTTAAAAACTATAGTGGAGCCCTGGCCTTAACGCCTTATGTTTAAAAGCTTCTCTTTGTGATTATAATTTCTAGCTCATTCTTCATTCCAGTTCACTTCAGTATTTGCCTGTCTATAAGTGCACTCCTGTTTTTAAATCTTTTAACCTTTGTGTCTGTGTGTGTTGGCATGTGTATGCACATGTACATGCGTGTGCATGTGTGTGTGCGGTTGTGTTTCTTCATTAATCTCTGGTCTGCTTTTGATTTTCCAACTAGCTTTTTATCCTTTAATGCTTCAGAGAAATTCTCATGTTTCTGTGTCAACTTTTCTTTCCTTCCTGTTAGTGCTAAAATGAGCATGAAAAACTCCGGTTTTGAGATCTTACCTTGGGAGTAACCAGAGTAGCGTTTGAGAAGAACAGTGCTCACCACCATAGTTGAGAGTGGTTTTAGGCATTGACCTGAAATAATAATCTGAGTCGCGGTGTAAATCTGCAGTTGCCTTCCTGGCAGCGACGCCTCTTTGGGATTCGGCTCAACGTTCCTTCCTCCCCGCCTCTGACAGGGCATCAGACACGTGGACCACTTCGGGTTCATCTGCCGGGAGGCCTCGGGGGGCGGCGGCTTTCATTTCGTCTGTTACGTGTTCCAGTGCACAAACGAGGCTCTGGTAAGCGGCGGGCAGCTCCCATGTGGACCCTTGGTGACGAGGACTTTCAGCCTCATGGGTTTTTCTTTCCTTAGCAAAAATATATATATTTTATAGATTTTTTACAAAGAGGAAGGGAGAGAGATAGAGAGTTAGAAACATCGATGGGAGAGAAACCTCAATCAGCTGCCTCCTGCACACTCCCTACTGGGGATATGCCCATAACCAAGGTACGTGGCCTTGACTGGAATCGAACCTGGGACCCTTGAGTCCCTGGCCAATGCTCTATCCACTGAGCCAAACCGGTTTCGGCTGGCTTTACTATTTTTCATGACTGTTTAATTAGCACGTATCTGGGATTCGCTTGGGTGTGCATTTTCAATTACTCTCATTATTTTTAAAGAACTGGCTCACCTGCACCCCCTGGGTTAGCAATTTTAAGATGTCATTTTGGACTTTTGATGAGAGGACTTGGCTTCTTCACTCCGTGTTTAATTGGTGTTTTTAGTTTCTCTCGTATCCCCTGGAAGAGCCCTGAGCACCGGGGTATAGTGTTTCTCAGTTGGTAACCCTAGCAGTTATGATGGTTACCTGCCAACCTGTGACTCGTGGTCCAGAAAACTCTTAAAATACGGAGTCTTCCCGCAGAGTTCCGCATGTGGAGCTCACTCATGTTAAGGGGACCTTTCGCTGGTTACCGACTCTCTCCTCTCTGACCAGGTGGATGAAATCATGATGACGCTGAAACAGGCGTTCACGGTGGCTGCTGTGCAGCAGACCAGAGCGCCGGCCCAGCTGTGCGAGGGCTGCCCCCTGCAGGGCCTGCACAAGCTCTGCGAGCGCATCGAGGGTGAGTAGGGCCCCTCAGCCGGAGGGGAAGGCCTGGTGATCTGCACCCCCTGACAGGTTCCGCCTGATGGAGCCTTGTATTAGCCACTGGGTTGTCCAGTGCAGGGAATGTGTTCCATGCGTCAGGGATTGTGACAGGTGCGTGTGATTCCAACAGAGTGGCTGTACCATTTTACACTCACGTCAGCAGTTTCTCCGCATCCTTGCCAACACTTGTTGCTTTTTCTTTAATTTTAATTTTTTATTTTTTTAAATAGATATTTTAATGATTTTTTACAGAGAGGAAGAGAGAGGAATAGAGAGTTAGAAACATCGATGAGAGAGAAACAGTGATCAGCTGCCTCTTGCACACCCCCCACTGGGGATGTACCCGCAACCAAGGTACATGCCCTTGACCGGAATCAAACCTGGGACCTATCAGTCCACAGTCTGACTCTCTATCCACTGAGCCAATTTAGGGCTGTTTTGTGTGTGTGTGTGTGTGTGTGTGTGTGTGTGTGTATGTGTTGTTTTTTTAAATTTTTATAACCATCCCAATGGGTGTGAAGTGGTATTGATTTTCCCTTTTAAGTGAGATAAATGGACAGTTTTCATGTTAAGGCGTTTGAAGGTTCATTTTTGGACATTATAGTGCTCTTTAAGATGAATCAAAATGATTACTATTTTTTACTGTGTTTTCCTGGTTGTTACTATTTGCAGACATCGTACAAAGCATGTCTGGGAACAAGAAAAGCTGGGCTTTATCTAGAGTTCCCATCTGAGAGGATCATAACCCTTTCCTGGGCGCTTTCCAAGATAAGGTGAACGGTGATGGAAATGCCCCTGGGAGCTGACACTAAGATCGTGTCCCCCCTCACCCCCCCGTGACTTTGGCCTGGAAGATGCAGCAGGTCGTGACAGTAGGCACTGGGAGGGTCCCAGAGTCCCGCCTGGTGCAGCTGGCTTCCCTCTCAGAATGTTACAGCTGAGGAGTGTAATCTGGTGGGAGTTTAGCAGCTGTAGTTTGGGAGTTATCATTTAATTCATCTTTCACCTGATGACATCCAAGCCAAGTGGGAAGCGGTGCTGATGTATAAACCTCCCTCGGGCAGGCTGGAGAAGGTGTGCTTTGCCTGCATGCAGGGCGTGTTTCTGGAGCTCAGAGGGCACGTTAGAAGGTTCCTCCCCAGGGGAGGGGCTCGTTGCTTTATGAACGGCCGGAGGCCCTCGCTGTTTGCTCTGTTGCATTCTAATCGGTACAACGAAGTGAGTGGCTTATTAAAGCTCACGCATGTTCCCGTCAGAGGAGTTGTAGTGGGAACGTATGGTTTGGCTGAGAACTCCATAAACTGGAGAGGGCCATTGACATGGCCACAGAAACAAAAGACTTCAAGACTGCGTTGTGTTAACGGATATGGCCACGTTATTCCGCAGAGTGTATAAAATACAGTTAAGTAGCTGTGGCCAGTCTGGCTCAGTGGATAGAGCATCAGCCCATGGACTGAAGGGTGCCGGGTTCTGTTCTTTTCAAGGGCATGTACCTCAGTTTCAGGCTTGATTCCTGGCTCCAGTCGGGGTGCATGCAGAAGGCAACTAGTCGATGTGTGTCTCTCAGGTCGATATTTCTCTCACTCTCTGTCTCTTCCCAACCTTTCCACTCTCTAAAATATCAATGGAAAAAAGATCCTCAGGTGAGAATTAACCAAAAATAAAAATGAAATACAGTAGAAATATAAAATAAAACACTGACGACCTTGGCCACCCACTGCAAGGTGCACTTACAGCTCGTGAAGGTGCAGGCGTGCGCGGATTGGGTTTGAATTGTGTGCCACGGCTCGTAGTGTTCACATAGTGTTTGCTTACCTTAGAGCTTAGAGGAGCGTCTTCAGAATCACTGGAATGAACTGTGCTTCTACTAACAAGAAAACAGTTAACGGAGGCTTCCCTTTGCGAACTCGCCTTGGCTGAGCCAGGCCGTGCGTCAGGGCTCCCGGGAGAGAGCCCTTTCCGCTGTGACAGTGTGGAGGCGGGTGTCCCCACGGGGCTGCGGGTTGTGATTTGGGAATGCCCTTACCTCTGGTTACCTTTTCCTTGCCTCCCTTCCCCCCTCTAAGGCCTTTCGGCATCACGTGGGGAGTGCGCCACCCAGGAGGCTCTAAAGATGGCGCGAAGCCACGGGGAAGGTGTGGGTAAAGGGACCGGACCTGGGTGGGCCCCCTCTGCTTTGAGTTGGTGGGGGCAGGAAGGACCGAATGCACCAAGGCATCCCGAAGACAAGGATGAAACTTGGCCAAGGATCTCTTCATGCCTGCTGTGTATGAACAACAGTCTCCCTGCATGGTTTCACCCAAGACTGCAAGAAGCATACGATTAGTCTAACTCAGTGGTCGGCAAACTGCGGCTCTGGAGCCGCGGTTGGCCACTCTGTTGACTGATGAGTTTGCCGACCACTGGTCTAACTCTTCTTAGCACTTGGGTTTCTCTCCACCTGGGAACGTCTCATCAAACAATACAGCATGTCCAAACGAGGATGCTGACACTGTCCCAGACATCTCCATATGCAGGGAGGAGTGTGGGTTAATGATTAGTGAGGGCTTATGTTACTGTAAATTTCAGCACCTTGTTGGTTCAGCCATTGAAGTCGTTAGGACAGTAAAATCAGCTACTTGTCTCCCTGCCTTCAAAGGCCTGACATCTTGCCTGAATTTGCTCTGACAAAACCCGTCCGTCCTTGCGGCACTCTTGCCCACCCGTGAATTAACTCCCTTGGTATCGACGCCCTCATGGGTCAAACCCCCAAACTCTCCCGGCAAAAGGGGGGCAGCTGGGGTTTAAGAGTGGTCTCCAGAGGCAAACAGACATGGCTCAGATTCTAACTCAGTCCCTTACTTAGCTGATGACCTTGGACAGAATCCTTGACTTCACCGTGCCTCAGTTTCTCCATCTATACCTTTGATTACTAGAAATAGTGCCCACTCCAAGGATTATTCTGAGGATTAAATGAGATATTGCGTGTAGTATTGAGTGAAGTGTCACAGCAGTCATTGAAGGAATATTGCGGGGGAGAAAAATAAGGTGAGAGGGACTTCCTGGGAGCTGAGATGGCTGCAGCAGGGTGAGAAGGGGCCGTAGGAGGGCGGAGCACTGGGCAGGCTTGGCTGCTGTCGGCTCCTGGCTTTGGACAAGTCACCTGTCTTCTCTAGACCCCAGCAAACTCACCTGTAAAGCTGGCATGATTTCCAAATTCCTGGTCCAGACTTGAGAGGTGTCCCCTCTTAGTAGTATTAGGTGCATCATGGCTGTCAGGCTCTGGAGGTCAAGGCCAGTCGCCTGCCCGGGGCTCACTCTTGGGAGGAGAAAAGAGTGGCAGGTGGTTAAGGAGAGGTCATCCTTGGAATAAAAGTACAGGCATCCCTGAGATGTTATAGGTTCAGGCCAGACCACCACAGTACAGCAAATATCACAGTAAAAACAGGAGTCACATGAATTTTTTGGTTTCCCATGCATGTAAAAACCCCTGCTCCATGTTAAAACCCCCATGTTAACATAATTAGCATTATGTCTGAAAAAACAAACAAAAACAATGTACATACCTCAGTTAAAAAATAATTGCTAAAATTTTTGAACCATTATTTGAGCCTTCAGCAAGTTGTAATCTTTTTGCTGGAGGTTGCCACAAACTTCCAGTTTGTGAAAAATGCAGTATCGTCGGAGTGCAGTGAAGCACAATGGAATGAGGTATGTCTGTTACGCGCAGTGGTTGTTTTTGTTGTGGTGAGGTCAGTAAATCCTTTCATTCTAAATCTCATCCTGTGGAACATTTATCTCTGGCACTGAGAAAAGACAAAACAGGGTCTGAGCCATGTCTGTGTGAAGAAAGAACTTTCTGAAGTATTGATACTGATGGGCACTAAAACGATGGCTTTATTTTTATAACCTTTTCTCAGAATCCTCTGTCATGGTTATTAAATTGTCTTAAGAATGTTAATAAGCAAGTGGTGGTAAGAGGAAAGTGGTTAGCCACATGATTCACTTTTATGTGCGGGAGTATAACATGCAAGAGAAATATGTTGGTCAGTTTTCAACGGGATTAGTTGTTATTTCTTCTTAAGGAAAGATATTCAGAGCAAATACCATGAGAATTTATCATTTTCTTTTAAAAATTTGTTTGAGAGAGAGAGAAACCTCCATCTGTTGTTCCACTTATTTATGCGTTCATTGGTTAATTCTTGTATGTGCCCTGATTGGGGATCGAACCCACAACCTTGACATATTGGGATGGTGCCCTAATCGTTGAGCTACTGGGCCAGATTGAGAATTTATCGTTTTCTGAGGACAACGTTCTGATTGTGTGAGGGGTTTTAACATGGAGCAGTGGCTAAAAAGTAATTTGGAACCACATAGATCTGAGATAGAATCCAAGATGGTAGTTTTTGGAAATTATATAAACTCTCTGGGTCTCAGTTTTTTTTACCTGTAAAATGGGGATAATAACTCCCTATTCATTAGATTGTTCTGAGCCTGAAATGATATAATGCAGGCCTGATGTTTAAGACGGTGCCTGGTCCATTGATGGCTCAACTAAAAACTGTTAGTTGCTATCGTTGTCATTATCAACTTTATTGGTTAAGAGTTCCATAAAATTTTGAAAGCCTGCAGTGGGTACGTAAAAATATCAAGGGAATGAGTATAGAAATGTTCACTCTCCCTCATAATTTTTACGTGTTTTCATCGCTCTCTCTTTCTTTTTTTCTTTTTTTTTCTCTTAATAGGAATGAATTCTTCTAAAACCAAACTAGAACTCCAGAAGCACCTGACAACGTTAACCAATCAGGAGCAAGCGATGATTTTTGAGGAGGTGCAGGTACAGTGGGAGGTGCATTTCCGTGGGAAGAAGAGGCAGCGGCCCTCTTGTGAATGTCATTTATGAGCAATAGGAGACCAGGGCTGTCACGGCCCCAGGGAAATAACCCGAACTCCGCTTGGTTTATGCTTGAACAGCCCCGTGGAAGGGCCAGGTCGGAATGGCAGATTCACATCAGGTCTTGGTTTTCAAGTGGAAGCAACAAAACCGGGGGGTGAGGGGGGAGTGCTCTCTTAAAAACACCATTTCAGAGTGAGAGAAATTATGACGTGGAAGAACCTCAGCCCGGGGACCGAGACCTGGACTTCGGTCCCTGACCGCTCCTCTGCTCCGTGGGTACCCTCTGCCACCCTTCTCCGCCCGGAGTTTGGCTCCGAGTAGGGAGTTGCAGGAGATGTTGTTTTCTCCATGAAGTTGAACATTAATTGTTCCTCCTGTCTTATCATTTTATTTTGGTTTGAAAATAAATGAGGATGGTATTGTCTACTTAGAACATTGTACTATGTCAAACCTGAACAAAATTACAGAAAAAAACCAAGCTGTGGGCTTTCTGCATCAAACCCGGAGACTGCTCTCATCCTTACGTTTAGATGCCACGTATCTTGGGGAAACCTCACTGTGTGCCTGCATGCCAGTGATCTGTTCATTCTGACTCTTTAAAAATATATATATTTCTTTATTGATTTCAGAGAGGAAAGAAGGGAGAGAGAGATAGAAACATCAATGATGAGAATCATTGATCGGCTGCCTCTTGCACGCCCCCTACTGGGGATCGAGCCCACAACTCGGGCATGTGCCCTTGGCTAGAATCGAACCTAGGACCCTTTAGTATACAGGTCAATGCTCTATTCACTGAACCAAACTGTCTAGGGCTCATTCTGACTCTTTAATGAGCTCGTCAGCAATGTCATGTCTGCTGTGGGCCAGGGCATTTTCTATGGCTTTCTGGCATTTTTCTAGGGAGTTAGGCACATCAAAACAAAGAATAAATAGCTCCTTTATTATAAAGAGAGCGGCAGGGGTCCTGCAAATGGAGGGGTCGGTAAATCACAGGAGAAGGCTCCAGCTCTCCCCCTTGCTGGGGGAAAGGCTCAACAGTTAGGACCCATGGCCTGTTTTCTGTGAGTGTGAAAAAGTAACCACCTGCTAAAGGTCTCTCTATCCCCGTCCTCCTCCCGCTGTAAGGCTGGCATATGTAGAAGAAGGAAAGCATAGGAAGATTTCCTCTCTTTTGCAGACAGCTTAGGATGTGATTGTCATGACTTGTAACTGGCTTTACATTTTTCTTTTTTCCTCGGAAGCCACTTGAGACACACCACTTAGCTTTCTCGTAAAGGACCCTTAGAGTTCCGGGTACACAGAACCTTTGACAGATTGAATGTGATTGTATGTGGAGTTCATAAGTGGGTAAATGGATAAATGGATGATAATTTGCTTCTGATTATTAATGCACTTACAAAGTGCTATCAAGTCACTTTGGGGAGCATCCTTCCAGCCAGCATAGAAGAGGCATATTCCGCCCTGATGTGAGCTTTCTTTCTCATGTAGACATCACTGTGTAGGCAGTAGCTTTCCTCCAAACAGTGCGATGCATCAGGATAGGACACACTGAGTACATACGGCAAAGAGGCTGTAGACACAGTTTTTTGTGTTTTTTTTTTTTAAATATATTTTATTGATTTTTTACAGAGAGGAAGAGAGAGGGATAGAGAGTTAGAAACATCAATGAGAGAGAATCATTGATCAGCTGCCTCTTGCACACCCTCTACTGGGGATGTGCCCGCAACCAAGGTACATGCCCTTGACCGCAATCGAACCTTTCAGTCCACAGGCCGACACTCTATCCACTGAGCCAAACCAGTTTCTGCTACAGACACAGTTTTACTTTTAAAAAGTATACTCGGCCAATGTGGCTTAGGGGAGTGAGTGTCGTCCCATACACCAAGAGGTCGCTGTTCCATTCCTGGCCAGGGAACATGTCTGGGTTGTGGGCTTGATCACCAGAAGAGGGTGTGCAGGAGGCAGCCGATCGATGTTTCTCTGTCATCGATGTTTCTCTCTCTCTCTCTCCTTCTCCCTTCCTCTCTTTCTAAAATCAATAAAAACATTTTTAAAAATAGGGTACTCAGTCTCTCACAACCCCTAGAAGACTAGGTTTTTTTGATCAGTTTAAAGATCAAAGGGAAGCCGTGGGCCAGAAAAGCCAGCTCAGACTTTGTCCTCAGTCACTGTATGCTCGGCTCTCCTTGAATGATGCGCTTTTGACGTGATCTTTTCTTCATTCTAATGGCTTATTGATTGTCTTGTTGAATTATTTCCTCAATGACCATTTGTGGTTTTTGTAAAACATTTTATAAACCAAGTCATTGGTTTCCTTTTAGGTAGCAGTGCCTGCTACTGTGTTTGAAAAATCATACATTTCAAAAAACACAATAAAGGAGAAGGTGGCTTTGTGGTGTCAGGAGTCCTCTAATAAGTAGAGTGGCTCATGTTTTCCTCCACACCGTCCTTCCTGGGGGGCGGTTTGTTCCTGAGGAACTCTCACATGGCACACTTCCATAAGACAAATGTCATTATTATTAAAGTGTGTGGCATATGATCACCTAAATAGTTATTGGAGTATATGCAATCATGTTTTTTGTAAACAAATAGTTAATCCTATATAATAAAGAGGTAATATGCAAATTAACCCTCACTCCCTCACAAGATGACTGCCTACCACCAGGCCGGCAGGGAGGGTTAGTGAGGGACAACCAAATGACTAAACAAACAAGGCTGCATGGGGTGACCAGGCTGGCAGGGGGAATAGTGAGGGATAAGCAGGGTAGTGGGGCGGGGGGGGGAGGGAGGAAAAGGGGGGAGGCCATGAGGGGTGACCAGGTTGGTGGGGACAGTTAGGGGCAACCAGACCAGCAGATGGGGTCAGTAAGAGGTGACGAGGCTGGTGGGGGGGAAGTTAGGGGTAACCAGACCGAGGGAAGCAGTTGGGGGCAATTAGGCTGGCACAGGGGGGGCAGTGAGGGGTGACTAGGCCGGTGAGGGGGACAATTGGGGGTGACCAGGCTGGCAGGGTGGGGGAGTTAGGGATGACCAGGCCCGTGGGGAAGGGGGCAGTTAGGAGTGACCAGGCCAGCATGCACAGGTAGTGAGGGGCAATCAGGCTGGCAAGTGGGGTGAGTAGTTAGGGGCGACCAGATAGGCAGGCAGGTGAGTGGTTAGGAGCCAGCGGTCCAGGATTGTGAGAAGGATGTCCACATTTTTGAGAGGTCCCTGATTGGAGAGGGTGCAGGCTGGGCTGAGGAGATCTCTCCCTCCTCTGTGCACGAATTTCATGCACCGGGCCTCTAGTGTAAAATAAAATATAACTCAAACAGAATCATGAAGAAAGAGAGATGACTACTTACTGTGCAGATGATGCCAGAGATGATCACGGCTGTAGACATGCTGACCTGAGGCCATTGGTCGTCTGGGCTGTTTTTCTAAGAGGACTCCTGATGACACGGCACAGCACGTTTCTGTCTGTGGTCTGTTTGAGACGTGTACATTTCAAACATATCCAGCTGGGCAGGGGTGACAGGGACTCCCAGGGTCTTGCTGGCTGGTGCCTGCTGGCAGAGGTGCCGTGTCCAGGCTGGCTCTGTTAGTCTGAGAAGCTGTGTTGAGACCCAGCGAGGGCGAGGGAAAGAAATGTCTCCAGATCCAGTTCTCTTCATCTGAGTGAGCGTATTTTAGGGGATGACTGCACTCATACTGAGTAGATAAATCAAGTAGATGTACATTCAGTAGGTGTCCATGATGGGTTAAATAACACGGTTTTCACCAGTTAAAAGACTAATGGTTAGAGGAGCTGTTTTTCACTTTGTAAAGAAAATGGATCGCCTCCTTTGGATTTCCCACGGTCTTAAAATGGTTTCTTACAGGCTTTGATTGTCGTTTTTAAACAAGGTGTCAGAATGCCCTGTCCTGGTGAGTTGGGCCATTTTAAGTCATTTGCTCCAGAGACTGTAGGCGCCCTGAGCGCTCTGCGCTCACCTGCCAGCCTGGGAATTTATCTTTAACTGCATTTACCACCAGTTTATGGGTCCCTCACAGAGATAAGGCTAAGACACATTAACAAAGTTGACTTTGTTACTTAACAGACAATTCATTGTTTTCTTATTGTTGTAATTTTAAAACATTGCAGCGTAACATCACTGGAGGAAAGCCCACAACTCAGTGGTGTGTAGTTCAGGGGATTTTTTTACAAGTTGACCCATCTGTGCACTGGCACCAAGACTTTAAAGAAAAGCAAAAGCATTGCCAGTTCCTCAGAATCCCCTGGGACTGCCCCGGCAACCCCCACCCCGGCACCTGACACCGTAGATTAATTTTGAACAAGCAAGTTAATTTTTGACTGCAAAGTGATGTGCCCAGCTTGATTCCGCACTGTTCTCCTCTGACTTGTCTCTCTGGCTCGTGAAATCACCTTTGGAAACAAGGATTTGCCACGAGAGAGGATGGTGGTGTGACGTGGGAGGTAGGGGGAGAAGACACCTTGCTCATGGTTGGTAGCCCCTTCCCGAGTTGTTTGAAGGAAGGGTTTATTCTTGACCTTGTATGCCACGATGAAAACCCACTTCCAGCTCAGGTGACTTTTCTGTAATGGTTAACAAGCCCCGTGACATGACGCGGCCTCAGGTTCCGGCCTTCCAAATTGTTTCTGTTATGTAGACTTTGAGGAAAAGAAAATGCATTCATAATGCTCTTTATTCCGGCATTCTTAGCCTTTTTTAAAAAATATATATATTGAAATAAATGATCATGAAGAATTTCTCCAAGAAAAATATACATTTTCTTGTGAGAGTAGCCAGAGGTTTGAGTTAAAAGATGCAGGAGAAGAGAGAGTGGGTCAGCCCTCACTGCCTGTGCCTGCTGAGGGGCCTCATGTAATTCCTTTCTGTTCCTCTTTACTGGACATAAAAAAAAAAAGAGATAATAAATCAACCCAAGGACTTGTATACATGCATATAAGTACAACCAATGGACATAAAACTCTGGGGAGGGAGGGGATTTGTGGGAGGGAAGGAGGGGGCAAAAAAAAATCAATAAAATATGTATAAATAAATAAAAACAAACAAACAAAACAAAACAAAACAAAACAACAACAAAAAAAGGACTTTATTCCATAGAGTGGCTTTAGTTTTTCATTAAATTGGGTGCAAAGTACAGCGTGTTCCCACGTAAACTCCCACCTCTGTGCCTCCCACCCCAGCCAGTTCCCCTGCTAATAACTTGTTGCCTAAGTGTGTGCACTTGTTACCATTGACAAGGGGTTATTATTCACTGAAGTCCATAGTTTACCGGGGTTCACTCTCGGTGGTGTACAGCCTGTAGGTCTGACAGATGTATAGAGACACGTGTACACCCTTATAGTGTCATCCAGAATTGTTTCACTGTCCGAAAATTCCTCTGCGTTCTGCCTGTCCTGCCCTGCCTCTTCCCTCCATCCCAGTCCTTCAAACCCCGGGCAACGACTGACCTTTCTACTGTCTCTGGTTTTGTCTTTTCCACATTGTCATATAGTTGGAATCATACAGAATACAGTCTTTTCAGATTGGCTTCTTTCACTTAGCAATAGGCATTTAAGGTTCCTGTAGGTCTTTTCATGGCTTGATAGCTCTTCTCTTTTTAGAGCTGAATAATATTCCATTGTCTGGAATGGAACAGTTAATCAGTTCACCTACTGAAGGAGGACATCTGGGTTGCTTAAAACTTTTGGCCATTATAAATCTGCTGTAAACATTTATATGCATGTCTTTAAAAAATATTTTTATTGATTTGAGAGAGAGAGAGAGAGAGAAATATCAATGATGAGAGAGAACCATTGATTGATTGATTGACTACCTCCTGCATGCCCTCTACTGGGGATCGAGCTTGCAATCGCAGGCATGTGCCCTTGACCGGAATTGAACCCAGGTAGACCCTTTGGTCCGCAAGCTGACACTCTACCCACTGAGCCAAACCAGCTAGAGATATATGCAAGTTTTTCTGTGAACATAAATTTTCAACTCATTGGGGAAAATTCTAAGCAGTGCAATTGTATGGTAAGAGTTTGTTTAGAGTTTTAAAAAGTGCCAGCTATCTCCAAAAGTGGGTGCACCATTTCCACTCCCACTGGAAACCAATGAGTTTCTATAGCTTCCTGGGCTTTTAAACTCACAGGTGTGAGCTTACCCCCTGGGTCACAGGGCTAAGTTGGGATTGTGGTCCTCACCACCACTTTCCTTTACTGGCGATCTGATGGGACCTCCCTGGAGAAGTCCACTTGTTGAATAAAACGTGTATGGTTTTATAACATCAAGGTTCATGGCTTGGATTCCAGATGGCTTCGAAGCATCCGTTCTAGTTCCTAAAATATTTAATCCTTAAATCTGAAATTTGAAAGAACAGAAGGTCCTCAATAAAAAACAAACAAACAAAAAACACCCTTCTAATTATTCACTGTATTTCCCTTGAGTAACTGGAACAACTTATTTTTTTAAAGTCATCTTTTTCTTTAAGGGATCAAATGTCAGAAGGTCTCGGTTAGTGCTGCTTTTCCTTCTCAAGCCCATGCCATGGGTGAAATCGTTGTTCCTTCGTTAGCTGGGGAAGGAGGTTGCTAAGAGCAGCATCGACCCAGACTCGGGTGCTTGTAGAGTGGGTCCATTTACCGCACCCCGACTTTGTTTCAAAGGGCAGGTTAGAAGTGTGGAGTAGGGAGAGAGGTCCAGGAGCTGGACAATGGATAATTGTCCATCTAAAAAGGATGCATTTCCGAAGTTTATAGACTAGATGTTTTGTGCATCTCCAGAGCAATTCAGCTTTGTTTTCTTCATATTCAGTGAAAATAAACCACTAAGTTAGATGGTCTTCTAAAAAAGAACTCTGACTGGTAATTCCAAATCCAAAGGATGTGGGAGCTGGAGGAGACCTTTAGTGTGTCTCGTGCACCAGCTTCATTTGAAGAAATGAGGATGCTCAGATTGAATTACGCCTTTGGTCACACTTTAGGCATCACCTAGGACCTCCAGGTCCTCATTCCTCCTCCCCTGGGCTTTGCCACCACCCTGCCGGAAAAATAAAAGGTGCGGAGAGAATTTTTTTAAATAGGAAGAAAAAAAAAATTGAGTCAGTGCCATGACATTTTATGTGTGAGTTCATGCCTTGTGGGGCTTGTGGAAAGTGCTTGCTGACGAACACATGTGACATGTGAAACCACGACCCTGGGCCCGGTCGCTCTTTTTCTTTCCATTTCGCTAACCATCAGCGTTTATAAATGTGTAGCCACCATGGCTCTTGACCTCTGGGTGTTTACATAGATTTTGTTCTTTTCTTCTGTGTTCAAGACTATTTGTTTATTAAATATTTTGACTATGCCTCTATCTGATGTGAAATATTTATTTTAGGTATAAGGACGTCAGAGGTCAAAAGCTAAATCTGTCCCACCAGCTAGTTCCACTGTTTCTTTCTTTCTTTCTTTCTTTCTTTCTTTCTTTCTTTCTTTCTTTCTTTCTTTCTTTCTTTCTTTCTTTCTTTCTTTTCTTTCTTTTCTTTCTTTCTTTCTTAAAAAAAAAAGATCTCCCTTTTTGGGATCATTGGTGCCCCCTAGTAAGATGATTGAGTAGAAACACTAACTAATGAATGGAAGGACACGGTTAGCATTGCCAAAGGAATGGGTTTAGCGGTTTTGTTGACAAAAAAATAAATAAATAAATAAATGTAATATATTCTTATTCTTCTTCTTTTGTTTTTAAAGAAATTGAGACCAAGAAATGAGCAGCGAGAGAATGAAATGGTTATTTCTTTCCTGAGATGTTTATATGAAGAGAAGCAAAAAGTTCACACCCATATTGGGGAGATAAAGCAGGTATGGCATTTTTTTTCCCCCCTCTTCTCATGATTTTACCAGGACACCGTGTACAAGAGTCCCGAGGATGTGCTGCAGCTCTGAAAGCTGTCTTTGCCCCTGTGTGTTATGTGCACTTGTTATGCATGCAGGGAAGATTTGGGAGTATTCAGACTGTGCTGAGATGGGGAGACGGTTCTGCTCCATAGAGCAGACGGAGTGACGTTTCAGAGTACCCACTGCCACAGGGTCCTGAATTGAGGGAGCCGGCCTCTGCCACCTCCCCTCTCTCCCTGGTAGAGTGGGAGTGACATCAAAAAGCTGCCTTCAGAGCTGCATGAAATGCCTGGAGGGTCTCTGTGGCATGCAGGCTGTGTGAACATAAGCTGTGCTATTCAGATAGGAAACTCCCATCGATCCCCTTTCAGTCTGCCCGCCCTCTGCTACTGTCCACAGCTTTGTCTGGCTTTTCTGTTTGGGGGTGCTGTGTCAGGCTGGAGCTGCCTGCAGGTCTCTGTCTGTGAGGGGCTGCCAGTTTGGGGTTCAGTACACACAGAGCCGTAGACCACTTTTGTGTGTCTTTTGGATTCTGTGACAGTCAGTTCATAATAACCAGTATTGCTTCAAAACATGCATTTTGTATTTGTTTAGATTATATGGAAGCCAGTAAACCTAGAGAAAAATCTGAAGGATGTTTAAAAAAGTACTCAATTTTTCAAAAGTATATTATAGCCTTTTTTTAAAAAACACACCAATGCTCGTTCTAAAGGTGCTTTAATGTCCAGTTGTGTGCTCTGTCCCCATAACCGGCCCCTGCTGTTCTGCTAACCTCACCGTGACGCCGTTTTACTGGGATGCACACGTAGCAACTCTCCCGTTGAGTTTCTACCTTCCTGAACTCTCAGAGCTCACGTGCAGTGTCTGGCAGGATTTTTTATCTCACTGCCCAGCTGTAGGCTCCCTCAGCAGTGGTGCGAATGCCAGTCCACTGTCTGGTTCCTTGGCCTTTGACCTTTGTGGCTGACCATCCTCCCTCCCACATGCCCTTGGGGAGTTCTGTGCACCTCCTGTCCCTTGGGGATGGGCCACTCCATCTAAGTTTTCAGTTAATTCTCTAGTTCCATTTTCAACCTATTTGTTATTTCCATTGCTCCCCCACTTTTGTACCAGTAATAGTGTTTCCTTGTTCTGATCTTCCCCCGCCCCGCAACTTGTTCCAACAGGAAATTGGTAATTTTGAGGTGATTTGTAACTGCTAGAGAGAAATAAAGCACTTAGTGTAGATGGGAAGTTTTGACTTACGTGCCAATTCACTTTTAAGGAGTGGGTAGTATCTTTATGATTTGGGCATAGATTGGTCCAGTGGAGAAATACATTTAATAGTTTTTTCCATGTGGAAACGCCAGATAATTGAATGTGAAAGAGACCAAGCCCCAGCACATAGAACTGGCGCCAGGGCAGCACTCTCTCTGGAGGTTCCTAAACATTCTGCTACCCTGGAGGCTCACGTCTGCCTGTAGAGAAGAGACCCTGGTCCCCAGATGTGTTTGGGTGTCCCCAACATCATCTCCAAAGGAGAAACTTCTAGATGCTTATTTTAAAATAAACAAGGAATTGGTTATTTTCTGGACATGAATTACTTTGTAAACATGCATTATTTCCTCAGAGTGAATTATGTTCCAATTATATTTGAATTGTGATGATAGACATACAAAACCTCTCATTAGGTGGGAGAGGAAAGGAAGCATTGAGTGCAGGGAGATGCTTACGGCCGGGTTTAAAAAGAGAAAAATGCAAGTGCAGATTTTCTTCTGTCTATGTGGCATCTGCCATGTAGTACTAAGCTTTTAGCCAATGTTTTCTTCATGTATCAAAACAATCCACTCTAGCCCTAGCCGGTTTGGCTCAGTGGGTAGGGTATAGGCCTGTGGACTGAAGGGTCCCAGTTCTATTCCAGTCAAGGAAACATGCCAGGGTTGCAGGCTCAATTCCCAGTGGGGAGGGGGGGGTGTAGGAGGCAGCTGATCAATGATTCTCTCTTATTGATGTTTCTATCTCTCTCCCTCTCTCCATTTTTCTCTGAAATCAATAGAAACATATTTAAAAAAAAAACCAATAATCCACTCTAAATGCTTCTATTTTATGAAAACATGTGTTATGGGGTTGAAAGCAGATCCACAGCCTCTTAACCTTGTGAGTGAGTGGGTGTCGGTCAAAGGCAGTCCCAGAGGCCCCTGTGGATGACTCCCTTTGCTCTGGAGGCTGCTGCGAGTCAGGACAGGCTTTTGTTCTTGGTAAATGATTGCTCAGGACCAGTTGCAACTAGTAAGGCACCTGCCCGCGGTGCATGATGCTTGTCAGACACTTGGAATTCATTGAGTGCACCTGTAAGGGCAGGTGTGTGTTTCCCATGGGCCTGCATTCATTCCTCAGCAAGCAGGTTTGGGCGGTGCAGAGCATGCTCAGTGCACTCAGTGAAAACACAAAGCTAAGTGGTAGTTCCCCTTCTTGAAGTTCTGAGCTAAGCCATTCTTTAAAGCATGTGCTAATTCTCATGGAAGTAAAACTCGGGCTGACCGGACAAAGTCGAATGAAACTCTGACCAGAACCGTTTCTCTTTTATGCTTGGAGAAATGTGTAACATTCACTGGCGAATTAGGGTTTTATTATGTCAAAGAAAATGTAAGATCTTTGACCAGTAAATAACTGAATAAATTTTTAAAAAAATACTTAATCACAATGGGAATCCGAGGAAGACAAATTGAGATATTCATACCCAGGCCACTGGCAGTTTAAAAATCTGACAATTCTCATTTGCTGATACTTGGATTATGAATTGGTACCATTATAAGGGAGAGAAATTTGACAGTATCTAGTGTAGCTGAAGATGCAGAGGCCCAGCGACCCAGCAAGGACATTCCTAGTTCCTTGTAAAAATTTCACATGTGTGATAAGGAGCTATGTACAAGACAGGTTACTGCAGACTCTTTTGTAAAAGCAAAAAAGGGAGTCAGTGTTTAACAGCGGAAATATGAATAAACTTTTATGATTGTACATTTTGATTGAAGTGAGTAAATCAAAAGAACCTTTGTTGATATGGAAATCTAAAAAACAACATTGAAAGAAAAATGGTAGTTATAGAAGGGTTTGTACAGGATGACATATTCATTTAAGTTCCAACTATGTGTAAAGCAACATACATGTTTTATGGCTACATACATATATGAAAGTGCAAAAATGTGAGTTGGTATGATAAACACCCCATTCAGAAGAGAGGTTATTTCTGCAGATAGAGGAAGGAGAGTGATTCAAATATGGACGTCATTTTTTTTTCTATTCAAAGTAGAAAGCAAATAGAGAGATTAGCTAATATTGATGTTTATTGAGATTCAGGTATGTTTAAAGTGATTTAATGTGTATTAATGTATTTTAATTTCATAACTGCTCTGAGAGGAAAGTTCATTGGGCATCCTCAGTCTGCAGGTAGAGGAATTGAGAGAGGCAGCCGGTGACGGTGACCTGCCTGAGGCCCCATAGCGAGGGAGAGAACCAGAGCCCAAACCCCTCACTGTTCTCAGCCAGAGGGGTGCCTGATGTAAAACCATCAGGTAACACTTCAGAGAAGTGGGAAGCAGTGTGTCTATGGATTTTGTAGGTTTTTTGTTTTTTAATATGCCTCTCTCTTAATAAATGACATTAAACTTCCTTAGTGGTTGCCAAACAAACTCCATTATGTTGCCAGTTTCCTATTATGGTCAGTTAGGGGAGAGAAACCTGGTGGCAGAGGGGAATGACAGGGGAGACGGAAACAATAGGTGGGAGAGAAGACAAAGCTCTAAAGAAAGCAGTGAAAACTGGCATTGGCAGGGAGAAAGGATTCTCCAGTTGGTAAACTTATCCTGCCCTCAGAAATGCCCCAAAAGGTAAATTGTTACTTCCCTTTGAACAGCTGAACATGGCTACTACCTTTGTACCAGAGGCTGTGCCCCGTGCTTTACTGGCTTTACCTGTTTTAGTCTCAGAACACAGCCTTACGATTAGATCTTGAGGTTGGGCTCAATTTACAGAAGAGGGAATCACAGCCCAGAGAAAGTAAGTGACTCGCCCAAGGCCGGTTAGTGAATGCGGATCTCTGCTTCGACTACAGAGCACAAGTTCTAAACTGCTTTGCTGTGTGGCTCCCTCGCACATTTCTGCGTTTCGTGTGGAGCAGGTAAAGCAACTCTTTGAGGCAAAACTATTTCCTGGACTTGCAGCCCTGTCACCGAGGAGCAGGCGAGATGAGGGTAGAAGAATGGCCTGGAGTCAAAAGGATGCATCCAAGAGGTTCTTCATCCCTTTCAGAAGGAGAAAAGAAAGGAAGTTGTGACTCAACTTTCCATTGTTTCACTTTTTTTAGACGACACAGATTGCAGCAGAGAATGTTGGAAGTGAGTTACCATCCAGTGCCACTCGGTTTAAGCTCGACATGCTGAAAAACAAAGCGAAGAGGTCGTTAGCGGAGTCTTTGGAAAGTATTTTGTCCCGGGTAAGTAGCATCATTTCTCCTGACTTAAGTCACTTTTTAAAAAAAGTGTATGATTTGATTTGTTACTTTTATCCACTTTGCGAGCTCATCATAAAGTACAGAAGGTGAAATCTTTTTTAATGTCTTCTCAATCTTATAACATTGTTTTCTACACTTTAATTTCAGTTTTTAACCTGGCATGGGTGAAACAAACTTTTGTGTTATGTTATATTTAATCCCATGGAATTTTTTGTCTCGCCCTAAAATGCTGTTCATTGGCTAGTTTCTGTAAAGGACACGGATTAGATACACCCAGTGTGGGTTCCGTTCTCCCTGGTGTCACTTGGTACAATGTAAGAAACCAGTTTCTGCCCACAGCTCTTGTTTTGTACCTGGAACTCTCTGGGCAGGGTCAGCAAACAACAGCCATCAGAGCAAATACCACCCACCTCCCGTTTCTGTACGTGAAGGTTTACTGAATCATTCATTCACTGGTTGTCCGAGGCTGCATTTGTGCAGAGTGGAGTAGTTGCCATGGACACCACATGGCCCATAAAGCGTAGGAGATTTTGTTTTCTGGCCCTGTACAGAAAGCTGTGGACTGCAGCTCTGTAGGAATAGAAATAGAAAGTATACATAAGCACCGATACGGGAGTTCTTTAAGAAATCACACTTCCCCAGCCCATAAATGGCACTTCTCAGAAATCAAAGTGTGATAACCTTTCTGGAGCTTGCAATATCATCTTATAGTACTCTCTTTATTTCCTGACACACTTTATTTTAAAAATACGCTGCATTTTTTTTTAGTTAAAATTAATTTTTATTTTGTTTGAAGATGCTTCTGAGAATTTTGCAGCATTCTTAGACATAATTAAAAACAGTCCTTTTACAAAGCTGGGGTGGGGTGGCTGCCTGTGAGAGTCCCACATGCATGGCATGTTGTGAGTGTCAGATAGCCAGACTATTAAAACTGCCAGTGGACTAATCCACAAGGTGTCCTGGGGCATTTAAGTTGGTTGGCTGCCTTCATGTGTATGTGTGCTGAGCAGCATTTCTCAGAGATGCCTTTTCCCTGACTTGACTTCCATACATCGGGATGCAGCTAGCTGACGCTTTTGCAGGAGCCTCAGGGGTCATAACTCAACTGCCTTTTCTTCATGTAGGGTAATAAAGCCAGAGGCCTTCCGGAACATTCTACCAGCCTGGATCTGGACTGCTCCGTGTCTAGCACGTTAAATAACACCAACAAAGTAAGCACATTTTTCTTTATGTGGAGCTACCTTAAAGGGCCAGCAAATAGGCCTTGTTCACCTTCTCTCTATGGGGCCTGTCTAAAGGGACAAGGGAGCCAAAACTGGTTTGGCTCAATGGATAGAGCGTCGGCCTGCGGACTGAAGGGTCCCAGGTTCGATTCCAGTCAAGGGCATGTACCTTGGTTGCAGGCATATCCCCAGTGGGGGTTGTGCAAGAGGCAGCAGATCGATGTTTCTGACTATCCCTCTCCTTTCCTCTCTGTAAAACATCAATAAAATATATTTTTTAAAAATAAAAAAAATAAAGGGACAAGGAGGCCTCCTATCTCCATTCAAGAAAAGTTTGGTGGTTTCTGTGTCCGTGGTGCCTGGAGGCTGGCCACGCAGTTAGACCATAACACAGACGTTTCACACGGCTCGGCAGATGCCATTCCGTAAACCCATGGTAAGCAAACTGCGGCTCTCGAGCCACATGTGGCTCTTTGGCCCTTTGAGTATGGCTCTTCCACAAAACACCACGGCCTCGGTGAGTCTATTTTGAAGAAGTGGTGTTAGAAGAAGTTTATGTTTAAAAAACGTGGCTCTCCAAAGAAATGTCAATTGTACTGTTGATACTTGGCTCTGTTGACTAATGAGTTTGCTGACCATTGCTGTAAACAGAGAAGGGAGATCGCACATTCAGACCACTGAGATGGGATTTATTGCAAGCCACAGTGGATTTCTTTCCCAAGTGGCTTTTCCAGTATTAAAAGTACCTGAAAGTGGGCAAACCTCGGAAGTGGGTTCGTGAATTCTGAGAAGGATGCAACTCCAATTCCTGGGCCTTCCTTCATCCTCCAGCACGCTCTGGGACTGCGATTAGACGTTTCTGTTCTATTTAAGAGAGCCGCCCCGCTTCAGCCGTGCCTCTGCCACAGCACGGGCTGGTGACGGTGACCAGGCAGGGGCTCTCTTTGGCGACCAGCCCGTGTCCTGGTTTTAGTTTCTTGCTTTCTAGACATTTAAGCCACTGAAGCTCGGTGAGCTCAGTTTGTTCACCACCACCAAGTGGGTTTCGGGTTTTGTGCTAAGGAAGTCAGCGTTCCTTCTGCTTCCCAAGGGCTTGAGATTTAAGAAAGAGGGAACTTGTGTGGTGGCCAGCGCCTTCCCACAGGGATTCCAAGATCTTCTGAGATCCCTACTGGGCTCGTGGCTTTTAAAGTTTTTATATCATAAACCAACAGTAAGAAACACATGCCACACTGCGAAACGGTTCACAAACACATACATACACACTCACCCAAAAATTTCACAAAACAGTGTTTACGGTAAACAGTGAGTGACACGTGCTGGTATCCTCTCTTCCGTTTGAAGAGAGTTCACGGCACAGCTCCCAGCTGGCATCGCTGGCTGCTGACGTGTTCCATCTGCAGAGGGAGGAGGTCCACCTTCCACGAGTGCTTCTCAGACCCCGAGGGGCATGCTCGGTGGGTTCTGGTTAAAATGCAGATTCTGATGCCACAGGCCTGGCAGGAGGCCAGAGACTCTGAACTCTTTTTTTTTTTTTTTTTTTTTTTGTCAAATATATTTTATTGATTTTTTACAGAGAGGAAGGGAGAGGGATAGAGAGCTAGAAACATCAATGGGAGAGAAATATCGACCAGCTGCCTCCTGCACAGCCCCCACCGGGTTTGTGCCCGCAACCAAGGTACATGCCCTTGATTGGAATCGAACCTTGGACCTTCCAGTCCGCAGACCGACGCTCTATCCACTGAGCCAAACCGGCTCCAGCGACTTTGAACTCTTGACAAGTGCCAAGGCGAAGTCCTTGCTGTGGTCGGGGAACCCACTTTAGGGAGTGAGACCCTAGGGGAGTGAGACCCTGAGACCAGTCTTCTGAGTATGATTTTCTGAGTTAAAATCCAGCAGAAGTGCCAAGGTCAGCTGCCCTTCACGCACTCCGTACTGATTGTACCTCATGATTCATTCGTTTGGAAACATTGTCGTTTCTCTGCTGTACCCAGAGGGCTGGATGGGGTGGGAACGTGTCTGTAGGAGAGGTGACAGGCCCACAAGGAACACCAGCACCTGGGAGGAGCCCTGGGGTTTGGGTGAGGGACGGCGGTGACCTGTGGTCACTGTGAGGGGAGAGGGAGTTACTTTTGGTCAGTGGGACCAGGGAAGTTTGGAGAGGAGAACAGTGAGGCTCTTGAGTGGGATCTTGAAGGAAGGGGGTAGGAGGTGTGCCGGTGGAAGCGGACGGGGAAGAGGGTGTTTCAGGTAGACAACTGTGCATAAAGGTAACCGTGAAGACACGCATATCACCCAAGTGACTTTTCCAGTAAGTCTTGCTTGTTTTTATATCCTTCCCCAAAACACACATCTGCGAATATACACATAGCTTTGAGTTTCTAGGGTAGTTTTAGGAGAAAGGCAGCTTTTCAGAAGCCACCTGTGGGTATTGTGTGTGTATATTTTTTAAAAATATATTTTATTGATTTTTTTTTTTTTTTTTTACAAAGAGGAAGGGAGAGGGATAGAGAGTTAGGAACATCGATGGGAGAGCAACAATGATCAGCTGCCTCTTGCATACCCCCTACTGGGGATGTGCCTGTAACCAAGGTACATGTCCTTGACCGGAATTGAACCCGGGACCCTTCAGTCTGTAGGCTGATGCTCTATCCACTGAGCCAAACTGGTTTTGGCTACTCTTTTAATGTTGATTAATTTATCCCTTCTAGAAATTTCAGTAGGGACAAGTTGGTACACTTCCTCTTATTTTATATTTTTCGATTTGAAAAATATGTTGGCCACATACAAAGTTCTGGGAGTTCTAAGCATCAGTTTGAGGGGTAGTAGAATGCCTTTGAAAAAAGTATGTATTTTGAAAACCTACAGTATTAAACTATTGTCATGATTTTCAACTAATGTTTGAGGGCCCCTCAGTAAGTTCAAAACAATAACTTACATTTGTATCACATTTTTACAGTGAGCAGAGTAGTTTTGGTTATATTATCCTGCTTCCTTCTGAAAGCCAGTGAGGTAAATTTTCACTCTAGACATGAGGAAATTGAGGTGCAGAAAGAAGATAAGCGATTGGCCCTGAATTCTGGCAATAAGTGCCCAGGGGGAGATTTTCCATATACTAAGAATAATTGAGGATATCATTTTTAACCCCCACGATCACCAAGTTAAATTTTAGCATTAGATCAAACCCAGAGAGAGAGAGCCTTAAAAAGTGGGTGTAGCATATAGGGACACACTTGGCAGAGATAAAGAACTCGATCTGTTTAAACTGTGCAGACAAGTTATCCAACTCTCATTACGCATCTTAGGAGCAATAGTTCAGTAGTTTTTTTCCAGAAAGAGGAAGCTGGGTTTGGCCTGGGACCATTTTGTGCCATGGTTGCGTCCTTCACGTTTGCATGTGGGCAATTTCCCATTTGTCCCACAAATGAGCATGTTGTGTCTGACAAACAGGCATTTATTATTTTTATTTTAAAAATATATTTTATTGATTTCTTACAGAGAGGAAAGGAGTGGGATAGAGAGAGAAACATCGATCAGCTGCCTCCTGCACACCCCCCACTGGGAATGTGCCCGCAAACAAGATACATGCCCTTGACCGGAATCAAACCTGGGACCCTTCAGTCCGCAGGCCGATGCTCTATCCATTGAGCCAAACCGGTTTTGGCTGACAAACAGGCATTTAAAGGGCCTTTATTTCCTTACGGATTGTGGTGGCTTCCACATGGCATCGTGATCAGATGTGCTTACATATCGGGCTGTTTTCTTGCTGCAGGGGTTAGAGCTTTGTAAACCCCACAGATTTCCCGGGATCCATCTGATCTGTCTGTCTGTCTGCCACCAGGAGCCCTCCGTGTGTGACAAGGAGGCCTTGCCCGCGTCCGATAGCAGAACCAGGCTCCTGGGCTCCTCGGACGACCTGCCGTCCGGGGACGTGGAGAGCCGCCCCTCGGAGGAGCCTGCCCTGCTCTCCCCGCAGCTGGGCCAGCGGAGGCGGGCGAACACACTGAGCCACTTCCCCGTGGAGAGCCCGGAGCCCCCGGAGCCCGCCCAGGACTCCCCGGGCGGCTCGCAGAGGAAGCTTATGAGGTACCACTCCGTGAGCACAGAGACGCCTCACGAACGAAAGTAAGGTTTGTTTGAAACGTACATCTGTTGTGTGTGATGACTGGGCCATACCTGTTCCTAAGCAGGTGTGTGTGTCCCAGGTATGGTTAGTGGATCAGAGAGATCCGAGTCAGGCTTTACTCTTGACTTAAGGAGATAAAACTTGAACCAGTGGCACGCTCCTTCTGCTCCCCCCTTCCTCCCCTACCCCATGGGAAAGGTAGATGAAGCGTTACTTGTCACAAGTGTTGGTGAGAAGCAAGAGGAACCGAGCAGAAGTGACCCCGATGGCGTATAAGGATCACGCCTCCAGGAGGGCCAGGCGGTGCTGACCTTGGCCCTCAGCTCATGGCTTTGAGGAGAAGTGGGGAGTGGGCCAGCCCGGCGGTGCTCACCTGACCGGGAGCATGTCCTTGGAGGGACCGAGGTGGGTGGGGCCTGAGGGGCCATGTGGGCACCTGTACTGGCCACCTGGGCCCCGGCCCCAGCTCTGACCCGAACTGGCTGGGACCTGCTTAAGTCTCCCCGTGACAAAATTGGTGTTTTCTAAAATCTCAGTGGGTGGGAAGATCCTAGAGTCTTGTAACAAGATTTGCTAATTCCAATAATCGGGCTTGAATGGGAATTTTTTTTTGGCCCAGACACGGGTAAGTACTCTAGGAACAGAAGTTCTCCTTTTGCACCTGGGGTCTGTCCCTTGGCAAAACATTGGGCCCTAAGTGTCAGAGACCACAAGTGGACAGAGTTACCTTTAAAAATAACGGTAACACACCTTTTACAACCCCTGGCCTCATGAACGCGAAGCAGGGCCGCACCTGCCTCCCACAGAAGCCACTGGAGCCTCCCGTGTCAGTGCAGGTGGTGCGCACACAGTGCACAGTCCACCCCAGGGATTAAATGTTCCCAGTGAGAAAGTGACAGCAGTGACAGGCCTTAAGCAATGTAGCAGGGCCTCTGGGCTTGGCCTTCAAGCAGCCATTGGCAACAGTTGGGGCAGTTGTTTGGAATTTTCTGGATAATCATGATTCCCAAGCAGGACGCACTTCAGAAGCTAATCTTTGATACTACGACATTTTAAGAGACAAACACAGTTGGAGGCCTCATGAGGTTCTTGTCATGTGTCTTCAAGCCCTGTACTCACACTGGGTCCTTTTATCTTCCTCTGCACTGGGTTGCCACACTCCATCCGGGCATTTTCAGTGCGAATGCAAACTTTGCTGTCTGGAAAGGCCTGGTTCTCTTGCTCATAAGCCTGGTGTTTCACACAAGGTAGAGGTGAGGGGAATCTGTGTCCCTGACAGCGCAATCCCCTTCTCCCCTGAGAATGCAGCTTCCTGATGGGTCCTGCAGGACACAGGGGCTGAGAGGCAAGGGGGGAGGGAGAAATCCCCTCCCCCCTCTCTCTCTAACCTCCTCCTCCCTCCCCTTCTCTCCCCTACTTACTGCGCTTTCTGCACCCATAGGAATTCTTCTTGCTTATGTCCGGGAAATGAGACATTGACATTCAAGGCAGGTTATTGTTCCTTTTCAAGAGAGATGTATTTTTAAAACTCTGGAATCTGATTTGCTTTTCTTCGCTTTTGTTTCAATTGAATTTTTTCCGTCAGTTCCTAAAAAAGGGGATAGAGGAAACAGTACTATTGGAACTTCTGGAGATATGTGGGAAATGATCAAGAATGACCTTTCACAATACTCTTTGTTTTGTTAAAAACTGCCTTTGCCGATGAGAGTCGGGATGCAGACACGAAGTGAGACAGTGACCTCCTGCCCGCTCTCTTGTGCCCCCCTCTGCCCCCCTCTGCCTCTAAACGCCTGGTGCTTTCTCTCTACTTGCTACCTAGTGGGAACCATCCACCTGTTGACGAGTCTAAAAGTTGCTCAGGTCCTTCAGTTCCTGCTCCTCCACCTCGTCTTAACCCCTCCGCCTCCTCACCAAATTTTTTTAAGTACCTAAAACATAGCCCGAGCGGAGAACCAAGCGGGAGTGCCGTGCCCAAGAGGTGAGCTCACTCGCATGGCAAGCTCAGTGTCGTCTGTCTTCCCCGGAGTTTTGCACAGACAGGATGTGCTGCATGGAGGGGGTCTGGGCCATGAGTGTGTGTGTTTTATTGTTTTCATTATTTTCAGTCTATCTTTCGAACTGACTTAATTTTACTATTGATTAGTTTTCTCAAAATTAATTTCCCCCCCCCAAATTTTAATTTTCTCAAAAGGTCGTGATGGCAAGCCATTTGTATATACTTACTGTCACATTCCCCTGCCCCAGTACACACACACACACACACACACACACACACACACACAAACACAGGTGCTCACGTGCACACATACATGCGAACACACACAAACACATTAACAACACGTGTTTGACCTTACACACCGCAGTTTGTGCCACATCAGAAATGCCTTCATTAATTTTTCCAGTTTGAAAGAAAGTCATTTTGGAAGATGGACTGATTTTCTTGGTGGTTTTGATTTTTCCTTTATTCTGGGAAGAGTGCTTATCAGGAGATCGGCACTCTTAAAAGTGTTTGAAGGGGCCCACACCGTATTGGTAACCCTGGGCACCGTGTTGCATGGCAGCTCTCTGAATTTATTCATCTCGCATAACTAAATGGGCTGGGCTGATGCTTTTACACTAACTCATTGGTTCCATTCATTTAAAATGGAATTTTATTAACTGAGAAATTCAAGTTACATCTCCTCACTTGTTTTAATTTCCCACCTGGTTTACTTTCTCTTAGCTTTAGAACTAAAATGTTGCTTTAGTTTTGAAGCCGGTGTTTTTATCCTTTGAATGTTTGTATTTCTTTATCCTAAACTCTGTTTTCAACCAACTCTCAGCACCTCCTACCGCAGTGCCCTGCGGAGAAAACTCCACTCTTCCTCCTCTGTGCCAAATTTCCTAAAATTTCTGGCTCCTGTAGATGAAAATAACACCTCTGACTTTATGAGCACGAAAAGGTAGGGTTTCCTTTAGATATTTCAAGCCTGGGTAGAGCGTTGAACTGTTAAGACATACAGGGATTTTCAGCTGTTCCTTTGCCGTTTAAAAAGTCCTTTTAGCTAAATTTATCGTGTCTTCTTTCTTACACTTTTTTTTTTTTTCTCACTGAATGCCATTTAAAAAATGTATTGTCAGCCTTTTCTGATTTTGACGAGGATTCGTTTATTAATAGGCTATTGTTTTCAGAAGAGTAAAGCAGGTCTTAACCAGTTCTCTAAGTGACATTGGCGCTGTGGATAGTGAGCGTGTGGCTGGGCATCCGATCTGCAGGTGCCGGTGATTGCTTAGTTATGGGTATGTGCACAAGGTGGGCAAAAGTAGGTTTACAGTTGAGGATACACGAAATACAGTTTATTCTGTATGATTATTTATTAATTATTGTATTATTTTCCATATGAACAAATGTAAGCCTACTTTTGCCCACCTCTGTATAAGTACACACACTTAGGTGTAAATTATAAGGGCTTCCTTCCCCAAGTTGTCCTGTGAATTGGAAGCACATTAATGACTTGATGCTTTATACAAGCTGAAGTGACCATTACGACCCGACCCGTCAACCGAACAATATGTCAACCGGTCGCTATCACAATGCACTAACCACCAGGGGGCAGATATTCAACACAGGAGCTGCCCCCTGTTGGTCAGTGCACTCCCACAACCAACCTCCCCTGGCCAGCCAACCTCCCCTGGTCCCTCCCCGTGGCTGGCCCCGATAGGGACTGGACAAGACGGCCTGATCGGTCCAATCACCTGCCAAGCCAAGGAACCCCACCCTTCCACGAATTCATGCACTGGGCTTCTAGTTTATGTATATTGATAAATGTTCTGTGTTTTGTAGTTTTAAAAATACAAATGTTAAATCAGTAGTCATCAGCAAATGACTAATTACTGCCTTGGCGGCTCTATGTAATTTAACTTTTGTATTTTGTGTGGTGGCCTGTGCTGAGAAAATATCCCCACAGCCAGACCAGGGAGGAGTGTGGCCCTGGTGACAGCGCCCCCTGCAGGCAGTTCCTCTGCATAATGAAGTTGGGCCTCCAGAGAGGCCCAGATGGAAGCTAAGGATTCGCTGAACATATTTCTAAATATCTTTTACAATGGAAATGAACGAGGGGCATGTACGCTCACCCTTTCTATGCAGAGTCTCCTGTAAGGAAGCAGGAGTGATGGCCCACTCTGTGCTGGACTTAACTTCTGCAGTGATCAAATTTTATTCCTGATGCAAAAATAATTGATATTGTAATGCATGGTTTAAAAACCAAAAACATAAAGCTAAAATACCTGTCCCTAACTCCTCACCAGTCACAAGTCAATTGCCTTGTAATTGTAGGGACTTTGACTCCAAAGCCCACCACCTGGGCGACCCCAGCGGGACCCCCGTGAAGACGCGGAGACACTCGTGGAGGCAGCAGATATTCCTCCGCGTGGCGACCCCGCAGAAGGCGAGCGACTCGCCCGGCAGATACGAAGGTGAGGCCCGCCCCTGACGCGAAGCGGCTGGATTCTGGCGTGAGTGTGAGTTCTACCTGCACAACAGCGCACCAGTGGGCCTGGGACTCCCAGGCGGAACCTCCCCTGGTTTTAAAGCTCCCTGGGTGAGAAGCTCAGACGCAGTGCTTATCGCTGCTTTCAGAGGTCCTCTCGGCAGCTGCCAGCACCTTGGGGGCGCCTCTGCCCTGGCCGGTTTGGCTCAGTGGATAGAGCATCAGCCCCTGGATTGAAGGCTTAAAGGTTCGAATCTCGTCAAGGGCGGTACCTGGGTTGTCGGGGCACATGTGGAAGGCAAACAATCCATATGTCTCTTGCATAGATACTTCCCTCTCTCCCTCCCTCCCTCCCTCCCTCCACTGTCTCTAAAGATCAATGTCAGGTGAGGATTAAAAAACAAACAAACACAGCGCCTCTGCGGAGCTTCTGTGCTCGCTCCCCACACTGCCCCTGGTAGGGTTAGAGAGGCTCAGCCTGTCACCCCCACTTTCCGCCTTCCCTCCTCACTGAAAGCTTGCCTGCATTTCCTCTGCGATCTGTTTTGACTAAAATCAAGATTTTTTTCCTGCACAGTGTTATCACAAACTTTCAACAGTTTTACTTTATTGAATAAAAAACCATTTTTTTTTCTTAAAAAATGCAAACTAAAAAAAGTATACGCCCCAATATTGCTCAAGTTCCTCAGATTGTTTCTAGTGTGGATTCATTCGTGTCTCCGAGGAGGCAGCACAGGCTAATCTGAGAGTTTTCAGCCTTTGGGAAAGTGGCACTGTTACCCCGCCCCCTCCCCTCTGCCCTCGCTCTCCTCCCCCTCCACCCTTCTTTCTTGCTTCTTCCCCCTCTTTCCCTCCCCCTTTTTTCCCAGAGTTGTCACTAACATTTAATTTTTTGAAAATCAATACTCTGACAAATTAAACAAGAGCCTGATTTGGACTTAGCTAGTTTTGTGACATAAATAATATAACTTCACTTACACTTAATTCTTTTAGTTGTAAAACAGTTACAGCAATGTTGGCTTTTCCTATCGCATGGAATTACGTTAAACCACGCAGGTGGAGGTACTTTGAAAGCCTAGACATGGCAAATGTAAATGGTGGCATCGTTTTGTTTCCCTTCACTGAGCGTGGAGCTCCGGCGTTAGGCGTCCTGTACGCCAGCACTGTTGTTGCTCACAGTAGCCGTGTAAGGGATCACGGGTAAGACTGGGCTTTTAAATTCAGCGAGATGAAAATGGGTTTTTATTTTTATTTTTCCAGTAAATTGAGTTGTTTCAGTTTGCATCAATTAGAAAGTATAGATGTAAAGGTTTCATTTTTATGTTGGAGAAAACAATGGCCCAGACACGTGGTCGGCAAACTACGGCTCGAGAGCCACGTGCGGCTCTTTGGCCCCTTGAGTGTGGCTCTTCCACAAAATACCACGGCCTGGGCGAGTCTATGTTGAAGAAGTGGCGTTAGAAGAAGTTTACCTTTAAAAAAATGTGGCTCTCCAAAGAAATTTCAATCATTGTACGGTTGATATTAGGCTCTGTTGACTGATGAGTTTGCCGACCACTGGCCTAGACCATGTTAGGTCAGAGGGTCGCCACTCCTCACAGGCTCCCCGTGGTGCTGTGCACGCTGAGCAGCCAGGACAAGTGGCCACTGTAACTCCAGCCCAGACCTTCTCGTCCCGGACGCCTCTGTGCACCTCTCTGCCGCTGGGCTCGCTCTGGGTGAGCCAAGGAGCCACCATGTGTCACAGATGAGGGACTCAAGTCTGGGTCATGGGGGCATTTCCGAGAAGATTTGTGCTGCCTGGAGAAGCAGTTAGTCTGGCTGGGAAAATACCATAAAAACGACAACAGCAAAACATCTGGTGACAGGGACCCAGACAAATCTGATAATGTGCCCAGTGAAACCAAGCACAGGGCCCTGCCTCTTTCCTGCCGGTTTATTTTCCGGGGATGCTCTGTCCCTGGGGTGGCACCAAGGGCTCGGAGCGTGTGGTGTTTGTTTTCCAAGCTGCGGGCTCTGACTGAATTGTCAGGCCTGAAGAAAAAAAAAATGCTGCAAATGAACTTCTGACTAGATATTTGCTAGTAGGAATACTGCACAGTTTCTCCCCACGGTGTATCATGCAAAAGATGATTCTCTTTTGTTAAGAATAAATGGGCTGGAGGGAGGTCCTTTTATTCACCTCTGTGAGCCAAAGAGCGATGTTAGTCCTCGACCAACACTTTCATTTCAGCCTTGGCTGTTACGTTGTGCATTTACAGATTTCACCGGCGATAGACGTGTTCAGGCTTTACATGTCTTGTTAAAAGAAAAAAGAAAAATCCATCTGATATAAATGAGACTTATGGGTTTGAAACTCATTGTATTAGCAAATAGTCGAGGGAAACTGAAGCTCTCAGGGCCTTTGTGTTGTGAATAGAGCTGTGTCTGTCAGTATGCCTAATTTGTGATGAGGCCAGGTCTGTTGGGTTAGATAGTAGATGTGAGTGGTTCTGGCAAAGCTCGGACTACAGCCTGAACCTGTGGGAGGACTTTTATATTATTGAGGACTTTTATATGATTGTGGAACTCTTTGACAGTGACTGGTGTCATGCATAGCCAAACTTTCACGAGTTTCTATGCCACTGGGAAATTTTAGTGGATGATAAAAGCAGAATAACAGCAAGTAAAACTTTACTGGCAAATTGAAGCCTCATGGTGACACCTTTTGTGTTGGTCCAGGGTTCTCAGCTTCCACTGTGCCCCCGAGTCAGGAGGTAGATTTTTAAAATGCGGCTGCACCTGCCCTCTGGTCCTCTGCCTCGCTGCGTTATTTGGTTAGGGACAAGGCCTGGGCATGAATTCTTTCTTTTCTGTTTTTGTTAAAAATTATGTGTATATTTATTGATTTTAGAGAAAGAGGAGTAGGGAAAGAGAGATAGAAACATCAATGATGAGAGAATCACTGATCAGCTGCCTCCTGTACATCCCTTATTGGGGATCGAGCCCACAACCCGGGCATGTGCCCTGACCCGGAATCGAACTCTGACCTCCTGGTTCATAGGTCGATGCTCAACCACTGAACCACACCGGCCAGGCATCTTTCTTTTATTTTTCAACTCTCCCAAATGATTCTGATTGTTGCCTGATTGAGTACCAGTTTAGACATCAGAGGGCGACTTGTGACACAGTCACCACTTGATGGCAGTGTTGCTCCCTGTATCTTGATGGCCCTGCTTCCTTTAAAAATCCCAGAAAAGTATCCTTTCTTCTCCCTGAAGAGTGTTTGTGTCTTATTTTTGTTACAGTATGTCTCTTCCTCGCTCACTTGGAACTTAATCGAATGGAAAGATACCTTCTAAATCGAGATGTTGTTCTTTATTTTTTCTAGTGTTTTATTGGATGGGCAAAATAAAGGAGAAAAAAACATGGTCTGCTGTTGCCAGAAAACACATGACTTTTTAAGATCGTTCTAAATTTATTTGCCATGTGACTGTGCTTTTCTGTGGTGGGTGAAGACCAGGTCTGAGATAAAATACTGCACGCCAGGAGTCGGATTGTTTGTGGACTTCCGTAGTTGGGAGCCACCAGATTCCCCCCTTTATTGTGCTTCTTAACACATCATGACGGATGCCGGGAAGCCACGGTACATGGCAGGATTTCACTTCAGCTTGCTATTTTTGTGCCTGGTAACACTGTAAGTTAGCAATGATTGAGCTTTCCTAGCTAACCACCCATGTGTACAGTCAGTCCTTACACTTGGTGCAAAGGGCCGAGGTAAGGGTTGTGGGTGATCCAACATCTCAACCACCAGTGCATGGTGGGGAGGGCGGAGGGCTGAGGGCTTAGGCCCGGGAGGCCCTGGAGTCAGAGGGGTGTGAATTCTTGCTGCCAGCAGCCTTGCTGGCAGGGGGCTCCTCCTCAGGACTAAGCTGACCCCAGAGCCTGTGACTGGGCCCTGGCGAGGTTAAAGTTCAAAGTCAAAACCTAGAGGTTTCATCGCAGGCATGAGGAGCCGTTGCTGTAAGTAGTCTGAACAGTCTCCGGGGATGAAATCTGTGGACATTGGACACGAAGCACCCTCAAAATCGGGGCAAGACTTGGATGAGGCAAGCAGGTGCCCCCTTACAAAATTGAAGGAGGTACTCACTTTCGGGGTCCTGCAAGTCCGGACCCCGCATTTATAGGGCCCTGAGAATGGAGCCTCCTTAAATATTGCATGCCCCCCCCTGACCCCTCCCCCTCCTTCCCCTGCCTGGCCTTCTTCACAGCTGCTCACCTGCCCTCCAGCTTACTTATGTGCCCTGGAGGCTCCACTAGGGACGCCAGGGGCCAGGGGCCTTAGCTTGGCTTTGAGGAGGGAGTCCTTGGAAGGAAGAGATTGTGTTGTCTAGTTTAAAACACAGCTCTGTTTAGGTAAAATTTGCATCCTATATACTTTGCCCACTTAAAGTGTACATTTTTCTGTATTCATAGGGTTGTGCAACCATCACCGCAATCTAGTTTTAAAACATTCTTGTCCCCCAGAAAGAAACACATAGATGTCCGTTTCCTTTCCTCCCTTTCCCCGTAAAGCCCCAGGCAACCGCTAATCTTTCTGCCTCTGTGGAGTTGCCTGTTCTGGACATTTTGTGTAAATGGATTCACGCAGCATGTGGTCCTCTGGGTGTGCTTCCCTCGCTTCACGCGTGTTCCCAAGGTTGGTCTCATAGCAGGTGTCCGTGCTTCGTTCCTTCTTGTGGCCGTAGGATGCCCCATTGTCTGAGGACCTTTAAGCACATCCTGCTGTTCTTTCACCCGCAGGTGGACATTTGAGCGCATCTCCCTGTCGGTGGTTATGAAGAGCCGCCACAAACTTTCCCGCACACGTAATAACACATTGAGGGCGGATCACGAGCATTCTCGTGTGTTCATATTACACAGTGTTTTACCTAAATGTTAAAGGCACGTCTTAAAGTTAAATACCCATTGCAGTTAGAAGTTATCTATTACTTGTCCTTACAAGCT